TTATGTGTGGACAAAAGAGCAGCAGAAAAATATCAGCTTACATAGGCAATCTAGATGACTTAATTGAATATCCAAACTTGGTGTGGCTGAGATCAAGAGATTTAAGTAATGTGTGTAAATTTAAAAGTGAAATAGAATTAATTTTACATTAACTGCAATGCCTCTTCTACTGATTGAGGATGAATATTAGCATCATCTACATCCATAATATCCTCAAATCAAATGATGACATGTCCATATCGGTGATTGACACATCTGCAAAATAATTATTAGTGTCATTCATTAAGTCATACCACTCATCTTCATCAGATTCTTCATTGTCATTTTCCTTTTGACTTGGTAGAAAATTATCAGGTATTGGATCCATGTCATTGAATACCTCATCAAGTGTCTTGTACATGTGTACTGCATGATCTCTTTTCCAAATGTCTACATGTGAAACAATGTCATTAATAGAAAAGAGGGAATGAGCACCACTCAAAACCTGATCAATTCGAAAGGTAGAGAGCTGGTTGAGGAATAGTAGGTTGAGTTCCTTTCTTAATACATTAAGTTTTTGAGTTAGTTCTTGCTTTTATTTAGCTGTAACATCTCTAGTTCTGGTTTGACCTTCATCAAATGCAGTGGTTGCTGCAAGTAGAAGATTTGCAGGACAACTAAGTTCTCCACATGAACAAGCTTTTGCACAAAGATCACAGCAATTGTGCTTCATTTCATCCTTGCTGATGTCAAAGTAATTCAGCAAATATTCTCTTCTGCATGTTATACCATCAGCATGTAAGCTTACATACTCCTTCATGGATTTGTCAACATTCTGCCCAGGTAATAAATAATAGCATTACTTTGTTGACCATCCCACCCACATCTTCCACTTTCCTGAACTTAGGATTCCACATTTTTTGACAGGCCAAGATGGATCACAGTTTCAACAGCTTTGCAGTTGACGCCCATGCCAAACACAATGGTACACAGTAAAACACGTACATCCATAGTCATTGATTCTATGATTTCATCTTGAATTCTTACTGGTGTATTTGAGTGCAACATTTCAACCAATTTTTGCTTTTTATTCGCAGGGTTAGCATAAATACCATCACCCAAAATGCCAAGTATTACAGAGTACAATTTGTGACACTTATTGATCGTTTGACAATAAATTATGACTCTTTTAGCTTGCTTTTTGTGTTTTTTAAGTGCATCCACAAGCCAAATATGTTACAATAGGACTGTTTCTATCCAAAAACTAAACAGCATATGAAATGTTTGTTCTGTTTGGTAATAATGATTGGCTTGGTTATACCAAGGGTTCTCAGTATGACATCCCTTGTTTTCTTTACTGCAGTCGCAGTGAATGCAATTACGGGTGTATGGCTAGGCAAGAGAGAACAAATTTATTGAATGTGAGCAAACCATTTTTGAAAAGCATGTCTGCAAGATTGCCCCTGGCTTCCATAACCCCTACATACATAAAGGGAATTTGTTGAGAACCATTGAAGGTCGATGTGGAATTGATGTCAAATCTTAGATGTTTCTCCGCCGCTCCAGGGGGGATCGGCTGAGATCAGTCTGCTATCGCAGACCATGCCGAAGGCAACACTCCTAATCTTGACATGAAGGTTTCTCGCTAACTCGACCCAGTCTTTCGTGCCAATCTATGTATTGGCGAGATCGAGATCTTGTGTCTGTCCAGGTGTCGTAATTCTGGGGGGAACAGACGGGGGGAGTGTGAGAGAGATATTGAATTGCATACACATATTAAATTTGCAAGCTTTTTACTCTAGATCTGAAAATGCAAAATATACGAATACTTCCAAAAGAAACCAGGTTAGTATGGCTTTATTTCTTTGTTCTAATATCCATCAAGGCGATGAACTGTTTGACATTTATTCTAGAAGCAAGCAATGTGCTTCTATTTATTAGCGCTTCTTACAGCCCGAAATATCCCATCATCCGCATGCTCGTTTAGAACATTTAATAATGTCTGAATATCAAGAGACAAGATGTACTTGAGAGCTCTGAGGTATTGAAACAATATAATTTCATGAATTTAAGGGCAGTTTTAATAATAGCCCACCCGATCTATTTGTCAATAATGCCTTATTTATACAAGGAGTCAAAATGTACTTTATAGTTTATTTGTTTGTTATGTACAAGCCAGTCAAGATGATGAGAATATATACTTTCTAGATGTTTATAGTTTAAAACCAAATGCACAATGCTGTTAAATCAGGCTTACTGTAATAAGATTCCTAGAGCAACCCAGTCTAGATTGTTGTCTGGACATATTGTCGATTGACTTACCAGCAATTACAATTTACATGTAATAGTATGCATGTCAACAGACTTTTGTATAAGGCATCTGAGATATGTCCATTGTTAGCATAAGATGAAATAATCCTACCAAGCCTATATTCATCTATTTATCTGGCTGTGTTACTACATTTCGGAGTATATTGTATTTTTCGATAATGCTCACAATTTCTTTCTTATTAATATAGTTTTGCAGTTCTGACTGAGTACAATCTTAATCATTACAATGAATGGTGTCATTTGAAGCTGACATATTAATCGGTTGATATTTGCGATGTTCTCTGAGTGCTGAGCGTATATCCACACCGGGCAAGCCTGAAAAATATGCCTGACCACTTTGCCTGGTGTGGATATACACTCAGACTAACATCACAAACATATTCACCTGAGTAGACAGAAGAAAATTCACAGAAAATTCGAGTGAGTTCACAGAAAATTCATATTAATCGGTTGTTTTGTGATATGGGCAGCCTTGAAGGTGGCATTAAAACAACAACTGGAACAAACCTCGACTAAGTATTTTTATATAAACCTGCATCTATTTGAACAATGCAAATCATTAAAAACTTGCATAGCATGACCTGTTGCTACGGTTAGCAGACTAGAGCTGACCAGATTATTCAGTTATGAAGGACCAAAAGCAAATTATTGCTGTGTGGGAAAATCGTGTATGACATTAGGATTAACCTATTATAAAACATTAACATATTAAGGGCAAACGCACACCCATGATGTAGTTTGACAATCGCTATTAAATTATTTCAAGTGAATTTAGTAGATATGTTCAAGGAATGGAAATGGACTTGTTTGATACCTTATATTAAATACAACACTTACCAATGGTTTATGCAGTGTGCTTCATCTACTACGACTCTAACCTGCGATCAGGCCTATAAATAAATAAATAGGCCTGATACAAATCTTAACAAAAGTCCATGTTTTTACAACTATATTTCGGTTAGATAAAAGAGGTATTTCAATAGACAAAAGATTTTTTAATCTGTCATTTGATTGGTTGGTGCTAATTACATTATATATTGTCGTTGACATATTTAGTGATCACAACTATAATTAGATTGTTGTTGTCGTTGTGTGAAATTTAAATTTCTCCTGTGACATTTTGATTGGATACTAAATATAAACTTTGCTGTGGGTGGAAAGCGATCGGATTAAGGATTGTGTCAGGCTATTATTTGTAAAATAGAGCCTGGTTACTACGACAACAACAACCTGCTCTTTATATACCTTAGATCCAATTAGCTCTCTTATGTCTTTGGGTGAAGAACACACAAGTGTATAGTCACCAGAATTGAGTCTGTTGTCGTTGAACTGGTTTCCGACAAGGAC